CATCCTCGATGCGCAAGAAAGTCCGGAACTCGAGCCGACACGGTTGAGTAAACGGCTCGCTCTCTAAGCCTCCTTCTAGGATAGTTTAGCGTTCGTTTCTTTTCAGGAAGTGGCTCCGCCGTTGGAAACTGAAAAGAAAAATTCGTAACACACCCGCGATTTCCTTTCCTTTCCTTTCCTTTCATTCCAGGTTCAGGACCCGGTTCAGCCTCGCCTGGCACACGTAACTTCCGCCGAAAATCCATTCCTCCGCGATTCTCCTACAGCAGCCTTCAACTTACATGAAGACTTTAGATTTTCTAAGGCTCGACTTACTGAAACACATTCCGAATCTGGAATTGAAATTTCCAACATAATTCCATGTGCAATTTTATATACAACTAATTGTAAGATGATATTCTACTCCCAATTATTTGCTCATTATATTTATATAAATTACATTAAATAAATCACGTTACTAATTTATATAAATTGCACTAAATAAATATAAATATAAATTACATTAAATAAATCACATACTAATTATGAATTATCGGCGAAGTTGAGAAATGCTGCGAATCGCAGATCGAAAATGTTTCGCGAACAATTCCGGAGTCGTATCGAAAGACGAATCCATGGGAGAATAGCAATTTCTTGCTTTCTTACTTTCTAACGGTCGTAAAGTTTCCATAAAACGACTACGACTCGCTACGCATCGTAATTTGCATTCGGAAACCAAACGATCGTTGCGGGCAATATTTCCCTGTTCCCTTTTCTCTTTCTCGTCGTTGTCACCGACTGTCCCGATCGATTAATCGAACAAACGACGCGCGAAATATAAAAGGGAAGGGATCGTTGGATAGCGAATGAATCATTCGTACAAATTGGTTTTGTTGCAGCAATATGCAGCCAAGCATGCCGAGCAGAGCCACTTGGTAGAGCAAATGAACACGAAGTACTATTACTACACGAGGACGCAGGGTCTCTTCAGGATATGCTATCCGAAAGAGAGGCCACCGACTGGTAAGCACAGCTCACTCAACTTTCTCGAATGTACCGCTATCAGAAACCTGTGGAAACGCGTTGTTTCAAATGACAAAGTTCGAGCTACGTACGTACCTCTCGAGCGAAAGCGTTTCGCACCTGCATCTGTTGCAACTCGAGTTGATATCCAACCAACTGATAGGCGACAGATTTGTTACGAGAATCTTCTTCTTGTTGTTGCGTTACGCCGTAACGAACAATGAGCTTAACAGTAGTTCGAGATGGTACCGAACCTGTTTTTTTTTTGTGATTATATAAATTATAGCTTTTTTTACGTGTATTTTTTATATTGATGAAAGTCAATTCATCAGACTTGATAAAGTGTCTGACACTGGCTAAACGAATATTGCGAGCGTCGGTCCCTAGGGACCGACGCAGGCCCAACGGGTATCGGGGTGTCGGTCCCTAGGGACTGACGCCGTCTCGAAAGTAGATTTTCGTGAGTTCCTAGTGAAGAGCTCCTATGAAAGATATGTCGGCCTTTCAGAAACTTTCTACGTTACTATACATATATATATATATATATATACATACACATACTATATGTCGCGGATTATCCGACCGCACGTAATAGGTTGAGAGTTTATAAATAGTGGCCGGTTCGGTTGCACGCAGTTTGAGGAGAAAGGGATTTCGTACACGTGTGATGGTCCCGAGACGTCTCTCCTTCAAATTTCTACGAGTTCGCTTTGATCAATATTGATTCGATCGGCTTTCCTGTTGCTGCCACCTGCGTTCAGAGATTGTGTTTCATGCTGGCTACGAAGTTGAATAATAGAATTCTAGAAGGATATGCGTTATTCGTCTGGTTCATACCAATGAATGGAAAGTAATCGCGTCGTGTTTTTACGATCAATGAAAGAAATTTTTTGTACGTCGAAAGGCGATCGTGGATAATTTATCTTTTTTCGAGTCAACACGTGACACTTAGATCTAACGATCGTCATAAAAATTATGGTAGATTGCTTCGTTCACGAGGGGATCGTTTGCTCTGAACGACTTAAACCTAACCTAAAGCTAACCTAAACAGCTCTTTAGAGTGAAATGAACGCATCTTCGTAATTTTTGTTAATATCATGTAGATTGATAATTAATTTCATTTCTAGCAGCCATTTTCACTCTAGAAGCCTTTTATGCCTTGATCGTACGATAAACTATTTAGAAACGTGAATCTGCCGTAACCTCGTTTTTAAATGATGATTCTACGAGAATCTCGATGACAGTGATTACATTATTATGCGCACGTTTAGAAAACGTGTATGTTATTGTACAGTTCAAACTGCTGTGAAAATAAAAAATTTCACACGGAGAATCGTTTCATAGCTGCCTGGCGAACGCAAACGTGATCAGATGCTATCAAGATCTGTCATTGGTACCTGCAAGGCGAGTTACCTACGCCTTTTCTTCCTTTCAACTTTCTATGGCAAGTCGATGCGTGTTAAAATCGAATTCTACCTTAACGTTATATAGATAATTAACCAGAGTGTTTCAACTACGTTTGCGACGTGGAAGGCTGAATATCATCGTATAATTCATCGATGAAAATTTATGAACCGCCTAGTTCTATTAAACCGCTTAATTAATAGGAAGCGACCACGTGAAACTCGAAAATTGAATTTTCTAAAATCTCGAACGGTTTTCTTCCCCGTTCCATGTGAAGTCCTCGCACAATGGCTGATCGCGCGAGTTCGACAAATGGAAAGTTCATTTGCATAGTAAAAGAAGCCCAGTTCTACGAGGGAGAATCAAGTGCAACGAACAGCCACGCTTCCGAGTCTTCGCGGCGCAGACAGGTTAGGATTACCATTTTTCACATGCAAACAGAGCGAACGCGAATGAACGGATATTTCTTTACGCTTCTTGCAAGATTGATAACGAGGCTCTAAATTAAAACATCAGCATTGGCTGATGAACTGGCCTTTCAACCAAGAAACCAAGGATTGTACAAAGATTAAAAGCTGAATATACGAAATTGAAGTTGCGAACCATTATCTTTTCAAGATTATCTGTCGGTATGCTTCTTGCATCATCGTGGTTTCCACGCTTCACAGGGAGGCAATTCGAGAATGAGTTATTAACAGTGAGTATTTCGCATTTCACAAGCAAATGTAAAATGAGCTCAAATTGTATTTTGAACTTGTTAGATACCTTTATTATTTTATAATAATTCAAATGATCGAAATATTACAGAAAAAGCTTCCATTAAAATTATTTTATATTTGTGCAGTTCAGTTCTATTTTGTGTGTTTTAAAACTTTATTTGCTGTTTGTCATACCACTTGATTTTATTATTTTTTTTAACAATTTCTTGGTGATTTCTTCAATTGTTTTTTCGTCCTTTTATTTTTTTTTTTCATAAATGTTATATTCTTTGAAAGCTTATTTAAACCTTGAGGTTGATGAGCTTTTAAACTTTCTCACCAAAAATTCGTTTCTTCAATAATAAGAATTACTTACCACAGAGTGTTTTAGAAATGTTTAGGTTGAAAAAAAGATTAGGAATCAGCTAGCAACTTAAAATAAGTTCAATTTTAAATGAACAAGATAATATGGAGTATTTATAATGAATTGTGCGAGAATCAGGATCAGTAAGGATTCCATTTAATTTTCAAACTTCTAGATCATTCTAATCATTCTAAAAGATTTCTAGTTTTAAAAATTTAAGAGTTTACAGTTAAGAGTAAATTAAAATATGAAACTGTCTATGTGAAAATGATGACGGTATATACTTGTGCAATTCAAGAATTCTATAGGTACTATATATATATATATATATACACATATATATATATATACATATATAAGAGCATTGAGACAATAACAATGACGCAACATCTATGATTGAATCAACGTGCTGTACCTGGAATTTGCCACCAGTTTACACCTTGCTATTCACAATTATGCGTTCACACATATCGTGCTCAAACTCTGAATTATACGAATGACATTTGAAACGTCTATCTATCCCATACGGTTTGTTTCATTCTTATCTTTATTTTCAACTGTTTGAAGAATTTCAAGTGTCTCCCTTAATAAAAGGAGAATAAATATTAATACGATATGGGACTTCTGGAATGCCCAGAGTTTGCCAAGAAGATACTGTTCTTCCATGTTAGATGCTGGTGGCTCTACAAACTAGAAACAAGAAATTGAGCAGTTTCAATTTTAAATTTCCCAATGAAAAGGAAAGAATTAGAAGAAGCATGTTTGTTCTAAACATTTTAGATCTTGTCGATGAGGTAATAAAAGAATACGAGATATAATGAATAGATATAACTGGAACAGATATAACGCAGCACAATAACAAGTTTTAGGTTAGATTTAGGTTAGGTTTAACAAGGTATTATAGCTTCGCAGCTACTGTTAATTCACTTGGCCTCACCTCGTCAACGCTTGCGTACGTTCACGCATTCCTCCTGGTTGAAGCCTGAATATTCTACGAGCTCGTTACTCGAAAAGGTTCGCATTTTCTCACGATGAGAAACGCAGACAGACATTTCCTAAACATTTGCCACGGTGTAACGAAGCGAATTCCAGTTTGTCCGGAAGTGTCGGGTTTCACGAAGAAGCTTACATGGCCGCTCGTAGTAAAAATCAAAGGACTTTCGGCCCAGAGAATCGGTCCTACCATTCTTCGAGCCAGCTATTTTTACCCGTTGTCGGCGGCGATATGAAGTTCTATTGTAACTGCGAATGCAGTCGAAGAACGAGTAGAAAGTACTGAGAAATTCTCGTGAAATGAGAACAACGGTGGATGTTGTTCCCGTCGTTCGAGCGGGGAAACAATCGAAACGATCGATACATCACGTGTACCGTCGTGTACCGTTCTTCGGCCGCGCGTTCCTTATCGGTTCAGATGTTCCGTTTGCTTCCGGCGTTCCATTTCCGGCCTCCGGTATTTGATTCATTTAGCGTACGTGATGAGCAAGAAGAAAGAACTCATCGCAAGGAATCTCTCGTCATAGTGAAATTATTTAACAGTGCCAAAGTGACAAATGC